GTAGGTGCGGGGGAGCTCACACTTATAAAAAAATTCTTAAAAGAAGAATGCTGCACGATTTATGTCCAAATTTTCCGTCTTCCCATGATGCATTTCGATCGTGCATAGAAGTTTGTTGTACCTGGTCTTCAAAAGAGGGCTGTTTAAAAATCTGCAGTGCATTTGACAAAATAAAAACATCGAAATGAGGACGTTCTATCAAAGGGGTTTGCAAACCAAGTGGACTTTTTGCTAGGAGAACATATTTTGACGCTACAAATTGAGATGAAAATCAGTGTACTCTGCCGTCCTTCAAACTCAGATTTTGGCATTCATTTCAAAGCAGAGTCATGTTTTGTGTCTTTTGTTTCCTCGTTGCGAAATTCTTTTAACTGTAAGANTTTGTAGAGATTTGAGAACACATAACCGAGAGTTACTGAGACCACTTCAGTTTATTGATGACAATATTCAAACATCAAAGACCTGCTAAACGTTCGGTGTTGACTTTCGCTAAGTCATAGCCTTCAATGATCGTTTTGTTTGGCCATCTTGTACATGTTTTTTCTCAAAGTTTTAATYAATTTTTGATTTGTTTATTTTCTTGAAACCAAAATCAGTTAGCTCGGAAAATATCAAACGATTTGATATTAACCCTTTTATTGCAACGGTAAGTGAAATTTAGTTTTTTAAGTTTCTAAATATCTGTCAACGATATTAAAAAAAAAATCTTTCCCAGCATGATTTTATGAACCAAGTTGATTAATAAGAATCCAACCAGCCGAACAAGCAAGCTGTCATTAATTTCTGAATACAAAAAAGCAGTTCCTTATTGCTTTGCTTTACAGAACTGAACTGAAACCATCAGTTAAAAGTCTAGTTCTGTTTATGACAAAACTTTCTGAACACCATGACTTTAAGGGGAACTACACTAGAATCAAAGTTCAATGTGTGATGTTCTTTTCATTAGAATAGTATGGAAAACATTAAAACTCTTGAAAAGCATCCATATCAGAAATGACTTTTGCTCGATGATAAGACTGAATTCATTCGTACTGGACAAACATTGAACGGCGCATTCACTTGAAATCAAGTTACTGACCTGCAGCTGCATAAATGTGGAGTTTGGTTTTGGTACCAGATGTTCCTCGAATCCCGTCCCAGTCCAGTTAAGAAGCTCACATTGATATCGCGATTTATCCAAATCAATAATATTCACCGATAGACATTCCTTGTTTTGTATGCACTTTAAGCAGCATTCTTCAATGCTTCCAGTTGTTTCACTGGACAAAAGACTTCCTAGTTTAGAAAAAAAAWTTCTTTCTGCACTTTTAGAAAAGATCCCAAATGAGATTTCTGTGTCTCGTTTAAGGTACCGCATGGACTGGGCAAATTTCAAAATTGAAAAACAGAATAAAACACTTAGGACTCTGCCTTGTGACATGCTGTCAGAGTACGGCGAATTGTCTATTCTGGTTGTGATACGCAGGTGTATAAAGTCATCGAGAAAACGAGTCATTAGGGTATTTGATTAGATTTTACTTGCTGTCATAGGTTGAATTGTATTCTAATGACATGGACTTCCTGTGGAAGAAGTAAGCCATTGGTCGATATTTACGAGTGCCGCAATTGGGCATAAACTTATTCAAAATGGTCACCGTGAATTAGTTTTTTTTTTCTTAACTTGAATACAAAATCGCCCTAAAAAGGTCTAGAAAAGAAACAAAAACATCTGGAACTAGTCTAAAATAACTTTCGAAATACTAGAGAATATAATTATTASGAGTGCCGATTGAGCATAATCTTTGCCAAAATGGCCATCGGAAATTAGAATAGTATGTTTTCTTCACTTCAATATACAAAAAAAAAACTGAAAAAGATATACAGAAGAGGCGAAAACTCTAGAACCCAGGTAAAATAGCTCTCGAAGAATATACTAGGACTTAAAACTAAGCTTCAAAGTGATACAAATTTCAAAAATACTCCGCAGAGATTTAAGTTTTGTAAACGAAACACTTACAGACATATGTGGCATTTTCTGCAAATTTAAAAAATCTTTATCTCTACGGATTTCGATTGGAACTCATACTGAGCTTTCACAGAGCTTCTAATTAGGGTTTACCCTAAGGCATTTCATAGTCCATTTTCTCTTTGTATGTATGAAAAGAAAGAGTGTGCTCGTGAGCAAAAGTTATTTTGGCCGAGGGTTTATTGAAAGTTTTAAGAAATTACTTCATTGTAGAACTTAAATGTCAATACCATGTTGTTTACAAGACAAAATAAAACCTAATTAAACACTCGAAGACAAGCTGCAACACTTCGTTTATTTTCTTACGTTTGAACTCTGTGTTTGAATCATCTTATATTTGTTATTGTTTTCTACTTTATTTGCATGATAATGAAGATYGAGAAATGTCGAAAAGTTCATGTAAATATGATTTTAATTAATATTGCAGAATTTCATCGTCGAACTTCAAAAAACTCATAATTTCATGTAATAACATATCGATTGAGCAATGCAGTTATAAAATGAGGAAAACAAGGCAAAAAGCGTCGGAAAGTGGTTAATGGTTTGGCGAACACAGTCCATATTATTACTGCGGTTTTCMGTTTTCTGCGATCGAACTCTAGCATTGGGAACGTTAACGGTCATTTATTGTTTTTGCTCCCGTCAATCAAAATTCCGAAAAGCGAACTGCTTTCGTGACTCCTCGCACAAAACCGAACCAAGTCCGAAAGTTCGCCATCTCGAACATTTCCAGTTTCCCTGTACATTTTCATTAATACAAGATAAACATCTCAGTTACCCACGATAGCATAGAGATGGAAATATGCGTTGTCATAGCAACTACATGACTGAATACAAAAATTCCCAATTTCGAATTTATTAAACTAGACGCTTGTAAAGCGTGATGCGGGCTAGCTTAGCAAAAGATTCACAATACAAGATAAAAATTGTATCTCCAATGAATATTGTGACTATGACGTAACTATATATGAAAGTAAAATATGCCGATGAATACCTTAGTTTTCTTTGCAGTTCAATTCTTATCGTTAACCTTCACTGTCTGCTATAATCTTATCATAAGCTATATCAACTATCAACCATAATCTTTGTGCTAWAGTGATTGTCCTACATTTGCAATGTATTTTGTAAAAATATTTATGGAAGCTCTTTACTTCTTGGTTAGCGATATCACATCTATTATTATTTACATAACAATGCATTTTRGATGGCATGAGTGCATTCTTTAAATTTTGTTTTTATTAGCCTTTCTTTCGTACAAAAGAAATMYAAAARTTGAAGCAAAACAAAGCTCAATTTCAAAACTTGTACTTTGTCATTTTTAACTAATAAAAAACCCCGATGATATTAAAGCAATTTCTTTGTCAATTGTCATTGTCAATTAAACGGAAGAATACCTTTTGCTGTCTATAAATGTGGTAAAAAAGCCAGTATTTGAGCTGATTTCATTTTGAAGCTGTACTGAATAATCATCGAGCTGGACTGGTGAGGAAGGCGAGACTACTTTCGATGCAAAATCGTCTTAAAATGATAACTAGCAAGCTTGAAACTTCACAAATGCAAWATCCTAGTTCAATTCTTCAATGAGAAAGCTTTTGGTATTTCTTGTTGATAGTTTTTGAGTACTTTTTTCTCTGTTATCGGCGAAGTACCCGCCATTTTGGATTCTTGAGAAAATTTTCAGTTCGAGAGAGACTGCAAACTAATAGATATGGCTTCCTGTGGTTCGAGAGAGACTGGAAACTTCGACCCGACAGAGTGCGAAGGTAAAACTATAGCTGGCTAGCACAGCTAGCCCGCTAATTAAATTTAAATCAAGAATTAGCCACGCTTTTAGCCTCGCGTAAATGATATACTCTGCACAAAAATAATGATATTGTAATAACTATAATACGATTGTTAGCCATTAATTTTTCACTAGCTCATGTTTTTGTATCTAACATCCTACGCCATTGTATTCACCCTTTTAATAAGTCCCGAGTTATTGAGTTCTCCGCACTTGACGTCAACTATTATATGGAGAAGAAGGTCTTCCATCACCAATTTTGATTCCTTT